AAGAAATAAGTAACCGGTCCGGGTGAGACGATATTAATCCTTGCTGCAAATGGACCCTTTAAAATTGCCTGTCTGCCTTTAAAGCAAAGGAAACCTAAAGGGAGGAGGAGGAGGGATTTTTGCTTCCCCCCTCCCAAAAAACGGCGGTTTAAGCCTCATTTTAAAACCTTTGGAATTTTTTTTTCTTTCTGTTCTACTGAAGATAAATTGAAGAAATTAGACTGTTAATATAGAGGGAAAAGAGGATTTATTAACACCTTAATTGGGAAAAGCCACCTTAATTCTTTTACTTTTAAAACTTTAATTTTGTGTATTTACTTCGAAACATTTTCCTTTTTTTCTTCTTCTCCCTATTCAAACGGGGGAAAAGACAGCGGCCTCTGGTGGTTATTTTGTAACCTCTCTTGTTAGCCTTTCCCTTTTTGCTGAGTTGATTCAGCTGCAGAGTTTGGCTCAATGCCCAGACACTTGGCTGTATGCCCAGACATTCTTATCTTTCTTAGAGGCCACAAAAAGAAGATTGTTTCCCTTTGCCTCTCTTGTGTCTGGTTTTGTTTTTAAATCTCTGCTTATTTCCTGTTCTTAACTACAAGATAAGAGCTCTAAGTTAGCAACTGGACTATAAATTAGACATTGTCTTTTCCTTTTTGTTCCTGTTAGGCTTGTTTTGCTGTTGGATATAAATACTTTTTTTCTTTACCTCCTTTTTTGTGCTTTTTATTATAAAGACATTGCATTGCCTTTTATATTCTTTTTTATTTCCTCCTTTTTTTCTGCCTCCTGATAATATTTGTATTGGAAGTTTTTCTTTTTTTTTATTCTGGCTTTTGTGGCCTTTTTTTTTTTAACTATCCTTGGCTTTGTCTCCTGACAACAGAGGGCATTGGATTATATTTTTTTTTCCCCTTTCCCTTTTTTTTCTTTTTTCTTACTTTTGACTCATTGGTGGATTATAACTGGCCATTGGGCCTTGCTATTGGATTACAAATTTGGCCAACGGGCTTGTTATTGGATTATAAATCTGGCCATCGGGCTTGTTACTGGATTATAAATATATATAATATTTAGAAGATGAGTGCTTCAAATCTGGCAAAAGGGGTGAGGAAGGGCTCTTCGGCTCCGGCCTCAACCTCGGTGAGCCCAGCACCTCAAAAATCAATTACAACTTTTTTACACCAGGAGACTCAACAAAAAGACATGCAAGCCATCCTCCAGGCAATTGTAGATTGTAAAACGGAAATGAAAAAAGATTTTGAAAAGGAGATTGACGACTTTGTTGCACTTGTAAAGACAAAGAATCTGCCTCTTGCATCTGGTGGGTGAAGATTGTCTCTGAATGATTAGACAAGGAGAAACCCACACAAATTAGTGTGTGAATGTGCGTAATTATGGTGGAGGATGGAGAACTGGTATCCATTTTGAGCGTACCACTGTGATGCCAACCAATAAGTGGGGTGGGAGTCCTTGCCATTTTCACAATCCTTGTGGTTTATGATTTTGCTCTATTTTCACAGAAGAATGGTTAGAAATGACAAATGTTCTGACAGCATCTGCTAGCTTCCTTATCATCAAAGCTCTTCAGATAATGGGGTCAGGAGTGTGGTTTTTCATGCCACAACATCCTGTTTCAACAGTGAAGGAAGTGAAGCAATTACTCTTCTTTCTCCTCAAATATTTCTAATTTTCTCTCATCTGAGAGCCAGCAGAAAACAACAAAAAATGGATTTGGCCAGCTGGTTGCAAGACCCTCCATTTTGTCCACACTCCCCAGGCAGGCAAAGCTGCCCCTTTATCATCACCAGCTGGAGGGAAAACAACCCAACAATTGCACCATTGGTGTAATCAGAGATGGTTTGGGCAGATGGCAAGACCTGCAGTTTTAACCATCTGTTAGAAGAGCCCCCAGCCTTGGCCTGAGGATCAAATGTCCAAGCTGGAAGAGGCAGCTGCTAAAGGAGAAGTAGAGGATCCTTGATGACTGGGTAGGAATGTTCCTCAAAAGACAAAAAAGTCAAGATGGTACCTGTTCTGTTTCTTGCTGGGTTCAGCATTGAAGAGGCAGGAGTAGTAACACAGGTACTTCTTTATTGAAGACAAAACAGAACTCAAAGATGGCTCTGCCCCTATTTATACATTCAGCTTGGGGCGGTGTCAGCCAAAGAATACAACGTATTCTCCTGCTCAAATGCATACTAGTCAGCCCTTGCAGACAGCAAGTCTGGCCAGCAGGCCACGTGGTCTGCTAACGGTCTCAGTGCAGCTCCCTGCACCTGTTACCTGTTTAAGCTCAGTACATTACACCCCTCCCCTCCTGGTTCTTTAACACATACACAATATTTCTTGTTCAATACTACACACGTTTCACAAAACACAATGACATTCAATGGTACAAAAGTCTTACACTTCACTGTCTATATTAAAAATACATAACATTATAGGTCATACAAAGACACAACATTGAAGTACTTAGGCTTTTCAATTTCAAAGGAACATACATAAGCATTTCAGTTTGCAATAAAAATACATAAGCATTTTCAGCTTGCAATGACAGAAACCTCACGTAGTCCTTTAAAAACTTTGGTGGGCCTTTGACCCACTCCAATCGTCTCGGAGCTGCTGCTAGCGCCCGATCTGCAAGTTCGCCTGCCAGGCTCAGCATACCGGGACTATTGGACCCGTCCAATACGGGTGAAGCCGATTCGTGAAGGCTGGCCTGTCCCGGTAGACCCGAGCCTTTGTCCATTTGTGGTTGGCCGGCCTGTTCTGGTAGGCCCAAACCAAAGTTCCGCAGTGGAGTGGAATCCATCGGATCGGCGTAAGAAGCTGATTGGGAGCAATGTCCCGTTGGCGCATTGCCTGAAGTAGGAGCGGCGTGAAAAGCCGGTTGAGCACAATGTCCCATGGACGTAGTGCCCGAGTTAGGAGCCGCTTCGTTGGCAAAAACCCCATTCTGTGAACGCAATGTCCCGCTTTCACTGAGAGACTCAGATTCACGATCGCAATCGTGATCCTCCTCCCCCCCGAGAGCAGAGTCAGGAGCGGAAGGGTGGCTAGGTAACCTCCAACGCAGCTGGTCAATGTGCCTGCGCAGCACACGACTGTCTTCCAAGGCCACTTCGTAAGAAAGTGGCCCAGTCACCTTACAAACCACAGCTACCACCCACAGTTGCCCTGGTGCATAATTGCGGGCCCAAACCGGATCACCCACCCGGTTTGCGGGCCCAAACCGGATCACCCACTCGCAGGCTGTTGCACCTGCGAGGCAACCTGATCAGGGTGTAAGCGATCCAGCTTTGTGATAAGCCGGCGACCCCATCGAAGCTCAGCTGGGCTCTTGCCCGTAGATGTGCAAGGCATTGTTCATTGGCAGAGGAGGAAATCCGCCAACTTGTGATGCCAGTTGCCATGGGTGATCCTTTTCAAGGATTCTTTTGTAGAGCGAACCATGCGTTCTGCTTGGCCGTTAGAGGCCGGGTGAAATGGAGCTGATGTGGCATGCCTAAACAGCTGGAAGCCCATGCGTTGCAAAAATCCCCCGCAAAACCTGGATGGTCCTGGCAGTCGTCGTAGTGGACACTGGAACGACCTCCAGCCACTTAGAGAGACTGTCCACAACAATGAGGAAGAGTTGCCCCTGAAAGGGGCCAGCATAGTCGATGTGTATTCTCGACCAAGGGGCTTGTGTGGTCTCCCATCTATGTACAGGAGCCTGTGGCATTTCTGGCCAGGACTGGTGGCAAATGTGACACCTATGGATGTCTTTATCAAGTCCAGGCCACCAGAGGTAGCTACGTGCAAGCGCCTTCATCCAGACTATGCCCGGATGTCCCTCATGCAGAGAATCGAGGACTCTAGTCCTCAGTGAGGTCGGGATCACTACCCTGCTTCCCCACAGGATACAACCCTTAAAGGTGGATAACTCATGCTTCCTTTTCCAGAAACTCTGGAAGTTAGTGCCAGGACACGTGTCAGGCCATCCTGTGAGCACCCAGTTCAACATGCGAGTTAACGTGTTGTCAGTAGCTGTTTCTGCAGCAACATCCCCTGCATTGAGGGGAGACTCCAGCAAATCCTGGATAGACAGGATGTGGTTGGCCGGTGCAGGATCTGGTTCTAATTGCCGTCTGCGTGGCCCATTTCTCACCCCGGTTTGTGAACCAGGCAATAGTCATAAGCAGAAAGGAATATTGACCACCTCAACATTCTAGAGGAGCTGATTTGGGGTGTCTGTTTGTGGGTAGTGAACAACCCCAGAAGCGGCTTGTGGTCAGTGAAGACCGTGAAATGGCGGCCATACAAAAAGTTGTGAAACTTCTTGATGCCAGCCACAATGGCCAATGCCTCCCTATTTGCGCGTAATTACGCTCAGCAGCAGACAGAGTCCTGGAGTAATAAGCAATAGGGACTTGTGTCCCATCAGCCCTGAGGTGACTTAAGACAGCCCCGATCCCATAAGGGGATGCGTCGCAAGCTATGCTGACTGGCAACTGCTCATTAAAATGAGCCAACACTGCATTAGAAGACAACAATGCTTTAACCGCAGCAAAACTCCTCTCGTGGACATTTGTCCACTTCCATGGAGCCTGTTTGTCCAAGAGCTGGTGTAACGGCTCTGCCACTGCAGCCTTGTGGGGGAGGAAAGCATGGTAGAAATTAAGGAGTCCCAGGAAGGCTTGAAGCTCTCCCTTTGTTTTGGGACTGGGTGCCTGCTAAATCGCTTTGAGATTGGATTCAGCAGGATGGATGCCTTCGGCATCTATACGAAACCCCAGGAATTCTGTGGAAGTGACTCCAATTTTGCATTTCTCCTGTTTGAGCTTCAGCCCTGCTTCGTGGAAACGCCGCAAGACGGCCCGGAGCCTATCAGCCAGGTTTTTGACTGATTCCCCAGCGATGAGGACATCATCGAAATATAGGCATATATCCAGAATGTTGCGGAGCGTGCGTTCCATCATGCTCTGAAAGATGCCAGGGGCTACATTCACCCCGAACTGTAGCCTTCACACTTTGAAGGCTCCCTGGTGAGTCACAATGGTTTGGGCCTCTGCCGTGGCATCGTCCACTGGCAGCTGCTGATAGGCCTGGGCCAAATCTAATTTGGCGAAAATGCGCCCTCTCTGTAGAGACGCCAGAATATGGCTAACTACAGGCACCAGATAGGAGTGCTGCTGGAGAGCTTTGTTTAATGTGCATTTATAGTGTAGCGGGGACTGCCCGAGAGTGCTTGCAGGAGCTTGACTGGGAAGGGGAAGATTGGGACAGCTGCAGTTGGCTTGGGTGTGGCTGGCGTGAGTGGAAGGAGGAAGGATAGAAAAGGGAAGAAAAGGAGAAGGCCGGGGTGGTTGGAGTTGAGAAGGGAAGGTCTGGAAGCTTACTTTATTTTTCTATCAGGGGTATTTTAAATAGGGGCTAGATAGAGTGAAGTTTTATTGCTTCCTCCGTGGGAGGATGTCTGAGGCAGAGGCAGGCGAGAGTGTGAAGTAAGGGAGTTGGTTGGGGTTTCTAGCCTCGGATTTTAATAATAAAGAGTAAGGGAGGGGGGTGGTTTTTGAATCCTGAAACCTGAAGAAGAATCCTAGAGAAGAAGCAC